AACATCTTTAATGTCTTAAAAGATTGTTTATATTAATTGATTATCGAGTTGTTTCTTTCAATTGTTTCTTTCATATTATATATTTCATTTATTTAACATACTGATTGATTTACTATCAAATCTATTATATCTCAAAAGTCTTTTTTATACTAACAACTGTTAAACGTAAATATAACGCATGCTTCAAACACTAACCATGATAGATACAAATCAATCTTTGCAAATCAGTTCAACACATTAACTGTGATATATACTGCCGATTTAAATATTAAAAAAATGCTATCTCATTAAGAGATACCATATCAAATGCAATCAGAAAAAAGGGGATGAAAGATACAATGTCAAATGAAAAAAAAAATAAAAAAAAAAGGAAGAATATCGCATATTGGCCTGTTCTTGAAGAAATCAGTGTTCAGTCATAATCAACTGTATGTAGTTTTTTCAATGTTACGAATCTTGAGAGTTTGAATATTTTAATTTGTGTCCATGACGATGGAGCAAAAACTAAAACAAAGAATGCTTTGTACAAGGATACGTTTAGTAATATATAAATAATATTTTGTTTTATTCCAATATTAAACTCAAGCCATCTTCACACTAAACCTAACCTAAAATCAATCATGCAATACTTTAATTTTTTAACCAAAACTCAACCTAAAATCAACCAGCAGTCACATACTCACATTCAATTCATTTCCCGATCTATAGAACTAATCCACGGATTAAGTATCGTAATGGTTGGAATAATTATTTACACTCAGTTTTGTGCAATTTTAACTTTTGAGCCAAAACTTTTAAGATATAAAAAAATTAAAATATTATGTTATTTTATTAGAAACATATTTAAAATATACAAAAAAAAAATTCAAGAAGAGATATTGATATGAAAGCATAATAAAGAAAAAAAAAATATTAAAGTTTTATTTATATCCAACTAGAGAGCAATGATCAAACCCTTTTGGCCAATTCTAAAAATAAAATAGAGAGCAAAATTATGAACACCCTTTGGCCAATCAATCCAAGTAAACTATCTATCCAATCGAATCAAGCTAATCCAAACCAGATATCCTCATCAAGATATAGGCATGTCCAACAAAGCACATCTCCGCACAAAGATAAACAATGAAACCAAATTGGATCGAAAAAAACCTATCAAAATAAAAAAATTACAAAGGATAAAAACTAAAAAGTAGCATACTATTAGATAATGAACCACACCATCATAACATGTTGTTGCATTTTGCGCAGAAACTCATCTTATTAGATAATTCAAAATACTGTTTTAAGAAGAAAAACAAAATAAAATACAGAATATGCAAACAAGATTAGATTTTCTCAGCACTAATCTTTTTTCTTTTTCTTTGACATTTTATCACACATCTTTTTGGGATTATTAATCAAAGAATTAGGATAAGCTATTGACAGAATGTAAAGAGTGTAAAGAGTCCAACTCGTAAGAAATTCTTATTTTCGATCCAAGAACGGAGTTAGACTACATAGCTACCTACCTTAGAAGTTAATAGTCGCAGGTCTCCAGGTTTTTGGGGCTCTCGGGCTGAGCTCAAGCTGCTCGTCTGGCTCATGAGAGCTCCAGCTAAAGATTGGTGAAATGGGAAATAAAGATTTTACTAATTAGTAAACAAATCACAAAAAATGATGAGCAACTTACACATCCGAGCACTCATCCACGACAATAATGTCATACCTTAGTTATTGATGAGATGGCAGCCGATGAAGGAAAGCGGCTTCTTGGAGTTGAACATAGGCACTGTTTGGCCTTGAAATGAGCTCTTCATGGCATCCGGTTTCTACTATGGTCCCATTTTTCACAACAGCTATCACATCTGCATTTCGCCAGTTGTTCTCCCCACCATAGTTATAAGTATTCAATAGTGAAGTTGTGTATGATTTGACTGCCTTCTCTTCTCCTGCAAATGCTTGCACGCTTCTCACAAGGCCAATCACCTGATATCGGCAACAAAAAAGCAAAAACCAACACACAAAACATCCAAATACTTCTCTGGCTACATGTTTTCATACCGAATTTGATATTCCATCAAATTCAAACGCATTATCATCTTCTTTCATTCCACGACACGACTGCGAGCGCTTTTTTCTCAGAAATTAATAAATAAAATAACATACGTACATGCACACTATGTGCAAAATATGTACCTCCGGTTTCATAAGGTGTCGTAATCAAATCAGTCGTTAAAATCATCACAGGAAAAAGGAAAACCTTACAAATCTATAAATTTCGGACAGATCTTCGCCACTTCAAGCGAGATGCTGTCAGAAAAGAAAAACCTCAAAAGTAAACAAACCTGAGAAGCCATAACCATCATCAATTATCACACAAGGGAAATACACTTCCTAACACAATCATTAGCGCCCCAAATTCAAATCAACAGGTGATCACCATTAACAAAGTAGGTTTTTTTTTTTTTACTTTCTAAAGACCTCAACTTTCCAACATAAAGGACCTAAATTGAGGGGCAAATACTACAAGCACTTGCGGACCAGAGAGAGGGAGAAAAATGCAGCTAAACTTCTATGAAATTGGACAACTGATTAAAGTTCCATTTATATCCAACTAATAGAGCAATGATCAAAACCCTTCTGGCCAATTCTAAAAATACAGAGCAGATTATCAAAGCCATATAGCCAATCAAACTCAAACAGAACAAGAGGATATGAAAGCAGAATATAGAGAAAAAATATTGAAGTTCCATTTATATCCAACAAATAGAGCAATGATCCAAAACCCTTTTGGCCAATTCCAAAAATACAGAGCAGATTATCAAAACCATATAGCCAATCAGTTCAACCAAACTATCCAACCAAATCTACCTAAGCAAACCAGATATCCTAAAAAAAAAAATCCGTTTCCCCTTACCCAAATCCATCCTAATCAATCCATCACCTCACGCAATCCATCCCAATCAATCCAGCACAACCAGCTCTTCATACTCCTTGCCCGCAATAGCCTGATCCATAACAGCCTGGGGACTGATAATCCTACCTTCCTCCAAAAACACCTTCATCATATTCTTCGAATAACCACTCACTAGCGCTACTCCCGGCTGCCCTGCCGCCACCGGAGTCGCCGGAGAATCTCTCAGATTCCAAAACACAATCTCCGGCACACATTCCCCATAACCCTTCTCCCCAAACTTCCTCACAATCGCCTCGTAATCAGTCTCCCACGTGCTGGGAGTCCCAACAACGCCCGGTAAAGTATATGATGGTGGTGGGCCCAACCGAATACCGCCATACCCACAACCATACCCACCGCCAAACCGACCATACCCACCGCCCTTGTACCGTGCCTGATCAAACTCCATGTCACTAAACACCAAAAGCCGCTTGATCATCTGCTCCGGCTTGAGCTTTCCGGCCATGGCAACTTCAAGCAACAAATCAAACACCTTTTGGAAATCAGTGTTCATACCCCACTCCATACTCCTTACAAAATTCGTCTTCTCTGTCAAACTCGACCCCACCACATCTTGAATCTTGGGGTCTGCGCTGAATGTGATGAGCTTCCCCTTCCACGGCTCCTCGCTAAGCTCCGAAACCAAAACCCCAAGAGCCACCGAAACCTCCATCGGGACACCCGTCATGCTCCCCGAAACATCACAAATCGCTAGGCAGTTGCTCATCTTCCCCTTCTTTGCCAGGTCATCCACCATTCTCCTCCACTGAAGCTCTGCCACCTGGCCGTTGTCACCGTCTCCAAGCCCGGCGATTATCTCGTGCGGAAGCAATGCTCCGGCGGCAATCTTGGCCTCACCCTTATCCACCTTCTCGAGATACTCTCCGAACCTTTGCTGATCATGCTCCAGAAACACCTGCTTGTACATTTTCGTGGCAACAGAGGACACCCTGCCGTAAGGGAGAGTACTCCACTGTTTCGCGCTCATGTAGAGCTCCGGCAGCTCGAGGGCTTTACGAAGCGGGACAAGCACTTGCTTACGTAAACGGTCGCGAACACGATACGCATAGTGGGCCTCCTCCACTCCTTCGTATTCCGGAAATTCCTCCCTCGGGAAGACTTTCTTGGCAATGGGCTCACAAAGCAGAGTCACCTGGTCGTATGAGGAGTCGAGGGAGGGGCACCACTTAGCGGCAAGGCTGATTTTGTTCGATTGGCCGGAGTTTAGCATCTCCATGTCCGACCGCAAGCACAGGGCAAAGTAATCCGACACACGCTCGTGAAGGAATCTGTAATCCGGGTCGCGGCTGAACCTCTCAAAGGCCTTCTTTGCCCGCTCGAGCCTCTTCTCCTCATTGCTTAGTTTCGGCTGGTTTGGGCTCTCATTCGAGTTGCTCGGCCGGTTGGATCTCCTCCTCATCCGACCTTGGGTCTTCTTCCTTATGCCGCCATATTGTGGGGCCATCTGTTTGGGTTTTTTGGCCTGCCGGCGTTTGGCAAGCTCGCGAGCCCGGCGTGAAGCCCTCGATTTCCAACTCCGGTAAGCCGCCTTAGCCAGTGTACGGGCGTCGGGGCCCTCGACTAGGCGGAATAGGATCTCGAGGAGGTCCTTGAAGTAGCCGAACTTAGCCAGGGGGGCGACGTTGCAGGCAAGGGTCTTGGGGTGGTTCTTGTGGATCCACAGCGCCGCCGTGTAGCCGCCCTCCCTGTCGGTCTTGCCTGTGCCGCGAACGCCTCGGAGGTTGCAGACGAGCTTCAGGGCCTTCAGCGGGTCGTCTTCCCAGGCGAGCTTGAGGCGCTCTGCGAGGGCCTCCGGCGGCGTGTCGGGGACGATGTGGAAGAAGAAGTCCAGGCACGGGTTTCCGGAAGAGAGGAAGGTCGGCGAGAAGTTCTCGGTGAATCCCATGGGTGGGAGGGGGGCCGTGGCCGCCGTCTTGTTGAAGTTGGCCACCATGAGGTCCATGAATGGATCTCCCGTGGCGGCGGGNAGGGGTAGACTTCCGGTGGATCTCCGGCGGGCCGACGAGAGAAATTGTTGTGGTGGCAGACGAAGCCATCGCGAGGAAGGAGATGGAGATGGTTTTTTCTCGACGTGGAGAGTGAGAGAGAGGGATTTGGGATTTTAGATGGCGATCGAGTTGCAGAGAATGAGAAGATTGAGCGTTGGAGGGCAATATTTATAGTGCCTAATTTTGCTTGATCTCCAAGGATAAACGGTTTCCCTATTTCTATTTTGTTTATTATTTGTAAATATTAAAGTAGTCCGGTTGTTTGCACGTCGTGTATTTGATAAACAATTACTAAGTGACATAAAATATCACCTAATTCTATTAAAAATTATTAATTTAGGTCACATAAAATATCAAAGGAAAAACCGTTTCCTAATAGATTTAAATTATTTTGACAAATTTCATAAATTAAATGCTGAAAATTTTTAATAGATTTAGTTACTATCCAAAAGATGAATAAACTTTCAATTCTCAAATCTATCGATTTCAAACATTAAATTATATACGCTTCCAAATATGTGATAAAATGACCATCAAAATTAATAAAAGCATCTCAATATAATTAAAAACTAAAAAATATATTGAAAAACATCATTAAATTTTTGCTATAATCTCGTTTTCCTTTCTATATGTGATCGGAGAAGAAATTTACGTTGTTTTTTTCATCTCTTTTAATTTATAAACTTTTACATTTGAGTTATTGATGTAATATACAATGAGGCCAATTTTTTTACAGAGTATAACACATATAACACACCAATGGCTGCTTTTATTATTTTTAAGGACACAAAATTAGAACGTATATAAACAGAGTATGAAATAAAGGCCGATCATATTAAATATATAAACAGAGATGATGTTACCTCAAGTTACGTAAATGCACCTTAATCCTCATCATTTGGCAACTATCCCGTTCGAATTTCACAAGCTTGTCTATACCATATTCTTCGGCAATGGCATCTACTGTTAGATCTATTCGGAATTAAATGTGTGTAATTAATACATTGGGTCATTATATTGTTTAGCCAAATTAAGTGATCAAATTATTGTACATATTTAGATTGTGGAATGATTAAATGTGTACACCCGGTAATATTATTATTTGGTGACGTAGCAAATAATAATATTAAACTTAAGGACCTAAATAACATATAATTTGGGTCAAAATTATTTATGGGTGGAGCCCCCAAAAGTCGTGAAAAAATAAAATAAAATGGGCATTGATATAATATTGTTTTCTTTCCTCAATTATGAATTTGTGTGAGAAAAGCCATCAGGTGTATTAAATGAGGCTTATCAATTGAGGAAGAAAGACATCATGTGCATTTATTAAAATGAGGCTCATCAATTGAGGAAGAAAGACATCATGTGCATTTATTAAAGGGAACTTTCTTTAAAACTCCCCAATCCTAATTGTAACTTCCAAGTCAGTCCCTAGTGAAAATTCCTATCTATTTTACTCCTTACCTCTATATTCATCTTCCATTTAAATCCCTCTTATTATAATAAATGACAAAGAAATTGATTTGTGACATCATCCCCACTTACACATTATTTTACTATTTTTCTTTATCTAAAAATCTAATTTTGGGTGGCTTCTTCTTCACTTCTCCCCTAACCCATTTCCCTCTTTCTTTCTTTTCTGCATCTTCTCGCTGCCGGCCCCATCCCTAAAACAAATAAAGTGATCATAATCCATTTTTTGTGTTCATGTATACTAAATTTATGCTATTTTTAGGTTATGTTAGGTGTTATTGACCATAAAACAAAAAAATAAGATGAGAATAATCATAGTACCACTATTCATGATGGTGTGTACCTCTGTTTGGATATATAGTACCACTTTGCTCACTGTTGGTATCATCTGTGCTGGGAAATGCGAACAATTTTTTTTTTTTAATCCAATTATTGTTAGATACATGGAAGGGGCACAAAAATTCCTATCTCTCTGTCCGATAATTCTTATTTTTCCGGCAAGATTGTGACTTTTTCCGGTGAAAACTTGAAGTAGTAAGTAATGTATGTATAATATGAGAAGTTTGGAGTCCAAAAGTCATCTTTAATTCATATATTTTTGTTTGATTTATGAAGGATTGAATTTTGAATATTGTTGTTTATATTTACCCTAAAACAAATAAAGTGATCATAATCATTTTTTTTTTTTTGTTCATGTATACTAAATTTATGCTATTGTTAGGTTATGTTAGGTGTTATTGACCATAAAACAGAAAAATAAGATGAGATAATCATAGTACAACTATTCATGATTGTGTGTACCTCTGTTTGGATATACAGTACCACTTTGCTTACTGTTGGTACCATATGTGCTGAGAAATGTGAACTTGTTTTTTTTTTTAATCCAATTATTGTTAGATACATGGAAGGGGCACAAAGTGATATATTAGGGAGTTGTACATACAAAGATGAAATTCTCTCTGAACCTTGAATCAACTCTTGATGAAGTGTACACTCTCATTGGTAAGAGGTGGCCGATTGTTAGTTTGGAAACCGTCATGTTAAACTATATTGCGCCAAAGGAGAAAAAGAGAATTAGTTTATCCGATGATGAGGATGTAAAAAACATGATTCAGTTACATCTTTTTTGGAAAGTAAATATTGTGGAGATAGTTGCCATTGAAAGAAATGAAAGCCCGGGCATTGGAAGAAATGAAAGACGGGAGGATGGAGTTCAATCTATGTCGATGAACATGAGCGGGTAATGTTGCTTTCATAATATTAATGAACTTATTATTGATATATGGTGTATTTGTATCACCATATCCAAATTCATTAATTTTTTAACTAGTTCCATTATTTATAAAAATTTGTACTATTTTATCATGAACGCAGGGAAATGTTACGGAAAGGAGAATCGGAGTTGGTAGTGCAAGATAAATCGATCGATTCTTAGAGATTCTCCATCAAAGGAGAGGGGAAGATGTTCAGTGGCGGCGCGGATGAATTTCGGAAGGTTGTTAAAAAATACGCAATTGCGAATAGGCGTTCTTTCAAGTACCGAAAAAAAGATCAACAGAAGATCATTGTTTGTTGTACTGATGAGGGTTGTCAATGGAGAATATATGCCTCAAAATACAAAAGTGATCAGGTATTTGCCATCCGGAAAAGCAATTTAGTCCATACCTGTGGAGTGTCCAATCTTCGGACAAGGGGGCATCCGGAAGCAAACTCCCATTGGGTCTCGAATGCAATTAAGGAGAAATTGGGAGATGAACTGAGCTACAGGCCATGCACGATATTGAAAGATCTTCATAGGGATTATGACTTGGAGTTGCCTTATAGAAAGGCATGGTTAGGGAAGGATATTGCCATGCAAGATATTCATGGAGCAGACAAGGGCTCTTATGATAAATTGAGATGGTATTGTACTAAAGTGAGTGAGACAAACCCGGGAAGCATTGCGGATTGTAAGCTTGATCCTATCCAGAATAAGTTCCGCCGATTGTTCATTTGCTTTCATGCTTGTCTTGTTGGTTTTATAACCGGTTGTCGACCGTTGATATTTTTGGATGACACTCACATAAAAAATAAATTCAAAGGCATTTTGCTTAGTGGTGTGAGTAAGGATGCCAATGATATGTTCACTTTAGCATATGCTGTGGTTGATGCCGAGACAGATGAAAATTGGGAGTGGTTTTGCGTGAAGCTGAATAATACTCTTCTTACCTCGGGATTACCTGTTCCTAGAAGCTTCACGTTTTTTACGGACCGACACAGTGGGCTTCTTAAAGCCATCTCTATGGTCTTTCCTGGCAGCCATCATGTTTATTGTTTGCGACACTTAGTCGACAACTTTAAGAATCAGGTAAAAAACTTAATGAGTGTGGTTTATTGTTTTGTACCTTTTTTTTTTGTTAACCATGAGTAAGTGTATAAACCATCATTCCTTGACATTTTGTTTATCATTGTTTGCATTATAAATTACGTTTATTTCATTAGTGCTATGTTGTCATTATCATCATTATCATGCTATGTACATTTTGTTTATACATTCTGTTAGTTTTTTTATTTTTATAAATTCTGTATATTTTCATTATAAAGCAGGTTTTATTATTATTATTATTATTATTATTATTTTTAGGTTTTGAAGAGCTACCCACTTAAGAATAAGAAACATTGGTCCTCGATTTTTAAGAAAGTTGTGTATGCTCCTACGAGGCAAGAATTTGATATGCATATAAATAATATATTGACTCATATGCCTCTTGCTCTAAAGTTCCTTCAGGATTCTAACCCAAGTTGTTGGGCGAATTCTTTATTTACCGGAGACCGTTGGGGGATCATGAATAATAATCAAGCCGAATGTTGGAATAATTGGGTGAGGGCGGCACGATTTATGCCTATCGTAGCCATGGTCGATCACATACGGAAGCAAATTATGACCATGATGCACGATCGACATGAAGGAGGGTCACGGTTTAATGGCCCGTTGTGTCCGAAGCTGGAAAAAATAATTTCATCTTGCTACAATGTTTCCCGGAGTCTCAAAGTCATACAATCAAGTGAATTGAGGTTTGAGGTTGTTGATGCGGACAAAAGTTGTGACGTGGTTTTGCAAACTCGCACTTGTTCTTGTAGAGAATGGCAACTATCTAAGGTGCCATGTACCCATGCATGTGCTTGTGTTGAGAGTAAGTCAATGTCCATCTATGATTTTTGTGATCCATATTATCGGGTTGGGATGTATAGGCAAGCTTATCAAAATACTATTAATCCTATGCCCAACTACGATCATAATGTGGCCTCTTCCTCCATATATCATGATGATGTCATTCATGCTCCGGATGTACGACCTCAGCCCAGACGTAGGAGGGAAAAAAGAATTCCTTCACAAGTTGATGTTGCAGTTAGGCGGTGCAAGCGTTGTGGTCGTCGTGGACACAATCGACGTACGTGCAAAGAACCTATCTAGATCACTCATGTATTTTGTTTTTTGGGCATGTGTATTTTTTTGTTTTTTGGGCATGTG